CACTTTATATAGGTCTGATTTTGAAGTATTCTCAGTTAAAGCTGGAGGAGAACCTTCAGGGTTCACAGGAAAATGAAAAACTGAACACGGTAAAGAAATGATCTCAAGTCTAAATGCAATCATTCAATGTGAAAACACTCGTTTCAGTAACTCTTCATACTTGGATGAAAAAATACATTTATTAAAGTTTGGAAAGATAAATGTTTCATACTCAAAGCTTCAACACATTTTGCATTTAGAAATTCAACTTTGATCGTTTTCAGGTTTTTCCTCCACATCTGAGCAACAACTGCGACCTTCTCTACTCATCTGGTTCAGGACAAACTGAATCTTGCTTTTGCCAAGACAAAATATTTGATCAGATTTTCCTCCAGCACACAGATCTGACTAACTTAAACTGAAGGACTGAAGTTATTTTACTGATTATTTTCTAAATAATGCAGATATTTTCTGTGTTTCAAGATGTTGATGAATCCAGGAGGAGCTCATGTTGAATAAATACATGTGAGGAACTTTCAGAAATCCGGCTTTATTAGTAAAAGTCCAATAAGAGACAGAGTCAAGAGGCACCGGGTTCAATCAGAACCATAAGCCACCAGGAGCCCTGCAGACTGAGCCAGACCTGGACACGAGGAAAAACTAAAACTCCACAAGTACCCAGGCAGTGAGGAGCACCCTCCAAGACCAGGTCCAACCGGGTCAGACCAGGTCCAACCAGGAGACATGATTCTTCAGCAGAATTCTATAGAAAATGTAAAAAAACAGACATTAAACTCTGAGCTGAACCTGCAGAACCCTGGTCCGGTCCTCGGACACGTCTGTGTTTTTTTTTATTTTCCATCACGGCGTCCAACCGTCTCACATTCACCTCCTGAGCACCGTTTGTTGCCTCCAGACCCTTCAGAAACCGTGGTCCGGTTCTGCAGACCCCAAACTACAGCTGGTTAATCAGAGGCAGCCACAATGAAGCACTTGGGTTTCATGAGACTCTGCTCAGAACAGAGTCCGCTTTCAGATCCAGGTCACCCAGAAGACACGAGTACTCCTGTGTGGTCGACTKCCAGGGTGTCCACCTCAGTCCAGGGTGTCTACAATCAGTCAGTAATCAGTTTTACAGTTAGTCCAGGATGTCTACAGTCAATCCACAGTCTAGGGCAGTGGTTCCCAAAGTTGGGCTTGGGACCCAATTATGGGTCATGAAGCACCTTAGATAATCTCCAGAAATCAATTTAAAGGGTAATAAAATAATTGCTGATGTAATATTTTCCCTATGATTATTACAAAAACACAAAATAAGTAAAAACAAGTATTTATATTTGTGTACAAGCTGTTTAGATTGTCAAAAAGCCTGTGTTTTTAGGGTTACTAACAACGTTTGCGTACTCAGACCAGTAATATTTGGGGTCACAAGTTTTTGCCATGGATATTTAGTGGGTCAGAAGACAAAATGTTTGGGAACCACTGCTCTAGGGTGTCCACAATTAGTCCGCGTTGTCCAGAGTCAGTCCAGGATGTCTACAGGGTGTCCATAATCAGTCCAGGGTGGCTACAATTAGTCCAAGTTGTCCKCAGTCAGTCCATAAACTCTCCAGTGTCCTTGGTCAGTCCAGGGTGTCCACAGGGTGTCCTCGTCAGTCTGGTCATGGGCTGTTTGCTGGCTCTGTGTGATCTTGTCCATCAACAGTTATTTTTTTTAAAAAAGGCTTTTCATTTTTCTTTAAATACAAATATAAACTTACAAAATCTCCACAAAGGTTCTGTACAATAAAAAGTGTCTTCTGTTAAAAAAAAAGAGTCTGTGGGAGTCAGGACCCCTCACACAGTGGTCTCCCCCTGCTTACTGTGGGTCATTCTCGTGTAAAACCTCCTCCACGAGTTCAGGGTCTTCCCAGACCAGATCCAGAATCCAGAAGTGATGCCCACGATGAGCGTCATGAGGTATTTGATCATGAAGACGGTGAAGTCCGGGCTCATGTTGGGGTGGTTCTGGAGCAGGCACGGCACGGCGTAGGTCTTGCAGAACTGGCTGATCCAGGTGCGCTCCCACTGCTCCCTGAAGGCCTGCTCGTAGAAGTAGCAGGCGATGACGATGGTGGCCGGCACCGTGTAGAGCACGCTGAAGATCCCGATCCGCACCATCAGCTTCTCCAGCTTCTCCGTRTTGGTGCCGTCGTGRTTCATGATGGTCCGGATCCTGAACAGGGACACGAAGCCGGCCAGGAGGAAGGAGGTGCCYATGAAAAGGTAGACGAAGAGCGGGGCCAGGACGAAGCCCCGCAGGGCGTCCACGCTGTTGATGCCCACGAAGCAGACCCCGCTCAGGACGTCCCCGTCCACCTGGCCCACGGCCAGGATGGTGATGGTCTTGATGGCGGGGACGGCCCAGGCCGCCAGGTGGAAGTACTGGGAGTTGGCCTCGATGGCCTCGTGGCCCCACTTCATCCCCGCCGCCAGGAACCAGGTGAGGGCCAGGATGACCCACCAGATGGAGCTGGCCATGCTGAAGAAGTAGAGCATCATGAAGAGGATGGTGCAGCCCTCCTTCTTGGTTCCCTGGACCACGGTCCGGATCTCCTTCTCAAAGGGGTCGTTGCAGACCACCCGGTCCTCCAGCAGGAACCCGGCGATGTAGGCGATGGACACCATGGTGTAGCAGCCGGACAGGAAGACGATGGGCCGCTCTGGGTAGCTGAAGCGCTTCATGTCCACCAGGTAGGTCAGGACCGTGAACAAGGTGGACCCGCAGCACAGGACCGACCAGATCCCGATCCAGATCCTGGCGAACTTGAGCTCCTCCTCGCTGAAGTACATCATCCCGTGGGACTTCTTGGGCTCACAGGGCGCCCCGCAGTTCTCCTGGCCCAGGAAGCGGTAGTTCAGGTAGGGGGGCACAGTGAGCAGGGCCGGGCACCGGAACTGACCCAGCGGCAGGTCCGGAGGGGGCGGCTCTGTGGGGTGGCGTCCCGGGGCCTCCGGCTCGGCCCGGTCCGACATGTTCTGGCCCACGCACAGCTCCCCCGCGCCGTGCACGGGGAACTTCTCGCACGCGAGGCTGTCGGGCCACTGGAAGCCGAACTTGTTCATGAGCGCCTCGCAGCCCTGGCGCGCGCGCTCGCACAGAGAGCGGCACGGGGGCAGCGCCTGCTCCAGGACCGTGCACACGGGCGCGTACATGGAGCACAGGAAGAACTTCAGGTCCGGCGAGCACTGGACCTTCACCAGCGGGTAGAACTGGTGCACCTCCAGCCCGGCGTCCTCCTGGTTCGTGTGGCCCAGCAGGTTCGGCATGATGGTCTCGTTGTAGGCGATGTCCGTGCACAGCGGGATGGAGATGGGCTGGCAGAAGCCGTGCTCCGGCACCGACATGCCCCGGTCCCCGCCGCCGAACTGCCCCTCCACCCCGAACCCCGCCACTTTCAGGAGGAGGAGGAGGAGACCCACCAGGAGCCCGTTCTCCATGATCGGACCTGATTTCCACCTCAGCTCCGTCTTTGTTGGCGTCTCACCGAGCTGAACTGCCTCCCTGTCCCCCGGAGACTCACAGCCACGCGCGGATTAAAAAAAAATCTCTAAATAAAAATCCTCAATTTGTCAAAACGAACCAGATCCCGGTTCCGAGAATCCACCAGAGTCCAACTGTAATCCTCCACAACCAGAGGGCTGCTGCGGTCCTCAGTCTGAACCACMCAGACTCGGTCTGCGGGTCTAACCCACTCTGTCCCCGTCTCCATTTCAGCAAGTTCACATCAGTTCTACACAARTTCCGGTCAGGACTTTCACAATAAAACTGGTTCTGTCGGCCCGTGTACAACCAGGCTAACTGTGATCATTATCACAGCAGAGGTTTACCAAACTGTGATTAATCAGCTGAGAAACAAAATGACAGAAGTTAAAAAAAAAGTTATGACTGTTGCATGTTTTCATGAACAAGACGGATATGTTGGAATTTTTTTTATTTAATTCATAAAGAACAAAAAACATAAAAATAATAATAATAATAATAATAATAATAACTTAATGAAAAGGGTGTAAAAAACAACTTCAAACAAGCAACAAATCAAACGTGAACAATCTTTCCTTCAGCTGAACCGAAAAAAGGTCAAAGGCCTGAAAAACTAAAAAAAACTCTGCCTCACTGTCTTGTTTCAGAGTTTTCTGCCATCGTAGTAAATGCATATAAAACTATAAAAGTATGAATAGTTTTATAGAATGTCAGGAACATTCTTGTCAATTCATGTCGAAAGCAATACAGTGTTACAGAGCCCCATTTCTCATAATAACTCTGATTTATCAATAGAAAAACTAGTCTAATACACATTATACTAAAATTTAATATACTATATGACCATATACCAACTAGCTGAAAATATATGATTAATAAAAACTACACATTAGTTTACCAAGTGACTTTATGGGTAAAAACAGGACTGGAGGCCTGTCCAGGTGTCCTCACATCTAACAGTCATAATTTTAATATAAGCTTCTGGTGTTTCCTTCACGTCACCTCCGACCAGAACTACTGCACTAAAAATACAGAAACGTTACTGGAACATGTTGCCCTCAGGATTTACATTTTTAGATAATTTAAAAAGGAGCAAAATATATATTGTTCAATATGAAATACGATTTTTTTTCTCCATCCATTTAATTGAGCGTTTCTTTGTCTTTGTGTTGTAGTTCGAAGTGTTTGAGCCAGTGGCTTTGGTTTGTCTGCTTTGCTTTGTAGTCATGTTGAATTGTTTTAATACGTCTTCATTCTGTGTTGGACCCCCAGGAAAAGTGGTCCCTGCTGAGGCAGAGACTAATGGAAGATTTAAATAAATAAATACATTTACAAGAAAATAAAATGACTCGTTTCACATTTCTGCTATAAATGTTGACATGAGGATTTGTTGTAACAATAGACTTAAATCTGTATTTTCTTCATAGGTTTTGTTATAAAAACATGCTGAATATTACAATAAATAGAGAATGATTTAAATCAATATTAGAGATAAATGAATAACAGGCTCAATGTGACACTCGGTGCCTGAAGACCTCTGCACAGATCTACTTCCTGTTTCCCTCTGCCTCATTTCATCTCACTTCACTCATCTGTGTGTGTGTGTGTGTGTGTGTGTGTGTGTGTGTGTGTCTCCTTTCATCACAGATGGAGGATGGGGGGGTCCAAACTTTTTCCTGCAGTAGTTCATGTCATCAAGGAGAAAAACACTTTGTTTCAGTTTAAAATCAAGTTGTTTCACTT